TGAAAAAAGGGAAGATCTTCACTGAGATGGTTTGGCACAGAGGCTACAACAATGGGTTCAAGCAGAGTAACATGAATTGTGGGGATGTTGCAGGACCTGGCAGTGTTTTGTTCTGCTAGGAGTTGGAGTCTCCGCAATAGCACCTGACATCAAGTTAGAAATGCATAATCTCAAACTCCATAAGACAAACCGAGTCAGTATCTGCATTTTAACACTGTATTAGGTATTCCATATGCATATTGAAGTCTGAGAAGTATAAAGTCTGCTTACTTCACTTTGCCTTAAGTTAATGATCAATTTTAAAGTCAAATACCAATTCACAGCTCTAATGCAAGATGAGTATTGCTATTTTTATTTTATTAATGGAGAAAAAGAGGCAACGAGAGATTAAATAATATACACAGGTTCACACAGCTAATATAGCGTGTTTGAACCCAATGTGTTTGACTCCAAAATGGTTGAAGTTTCCACTATTACTGTCACTCCCAGGGTTACACATGGGACCCAAGTATCAACACTTTTATAGAACTTCCTGAGTAATTCTAATGGTTTGTTTTCTATTCACTCTAAAATAATTCAAAGCTGTGAAAAAAGAACCAAAACCAAACCCCTAATATTTAAGATTTGGTGCTTAAACAAACACATATTAACAAACAATCAGCTTCATTTACATACTTTTGAATACCATGTGTACTTGCATCAAAATGGTCTTTTAAAATAATGACTCTTCAGGAGGGTCAAATGTGATATGACAGTCTAGGTAGTTAAGCATTCTTTGAATTCTGAAAATTAAGCACATGTGTCTGTTATTAATTTTCTTTTTTTTCATTATTGGCACCTTTTCTTGATTTCTATTTCTTAGCTTACATCCAGTATTTTCCTGGATTGCTGAAAAATTTATTCCTAGCTCTAAATATTGTTCGGCCACTAAAATGGAATATCTAAATGAGTTATTTGGATGAAATTTTTAGAGTTTATTCTGTGGCTTACATTTGTTTTTATTTGTTTTAGACTCCTGTAAGCTTTTTGTACCCTGCAAGTTCTGAAATACAGAGATCACTGATGCTTACCTGTCATTTCTAGGGAAGTGAATCTCTTTTAGCTATTGAGTTTCCCTTTGGATACAGTTCAGTGTCCTGGTTAACTGTATGAATATGATTTGAAAATTTCCATAAAAAAACAAACAAACAACAACAACAAATAAAAGCATCCACCTTCCTTCCCAAGAAGAAATTGACACGAAAATAAAAAGTAAAAAATTAAATCAAGACAGCTGCATTAAAATAAAAAAAAAAATCTTTCTGAGATGATTTTAAATATATCATTACCTTCTCTTTTTTTATCTTCCTGCTTTCTTGACTATTTTGCAAAGTTTTTGTCATTAGCATATAAATCAAAGAAGTATTCGACACTGTTGTTCTTGCTGTTTCCTGTGAGGACACAAGAGTTATTTTGTGTTCTTTTAAGAATGAGAGCATAAGCAATTCTCTGTGTTCCGTGAAACAGTGGAACTGATATGGCTTCAGCACCTTGCTTTTATAAAATAAAAAATAAATTTAATAGTTTGAAAAACCAATTAAGTTGGTTTAGCTTTGATTCATTTGTTTTTACATGGGCATTAAGAAATAATCCTTCTTCTACTTATCAAATTAACCAATACGCACTGCCATCGAGTCGAATCCGACTCATAGTAACCCCTCCTTGGGTTTCCGAAGCAGTATCACTACGGAAGTAGATGGCCCAACCTTCCTTCCAAGGAGTGGCTGGAGGGTTTGGAACACCAGCCTTCTGGTTAGCAGTCAAATGCCTTAGGCACTACATCACCACTAGCTAACAATTCAAGATACTTGACATATGAAATGTGAAATTATTGTATATGTAAGTTCTTTGAATTTGGGTTTCAAACTTATAGATAGTGACATCTTTCATGATGATAAGTTGCTTTTAGAACAATGGTTCTCGAATTTAAGTGTGCACACAAAATTCCTGGGATTCTTCTTAAAATGAAGGTTCTAATTACATAAATCCAGAGTGTAAGCTTGAGCTAATGCACTTGCATCAAGCTTTCATGTGAAGCTGATGCAACTGGTCCAAATACCACTTTAAGTAACAAGGTTTTAGATATGCTTACACTTACAGTGTCTTTTAGTTGCCGTCCAGTTGGCTCAAACTCATGGCAGCCTTATGTGTAACAACGAAACAGTGCCCTGTCCTGTACCATCTTCTACTTATATTAGATCCAAGAACTACTTGACTTAGGGCTACTCAGAGGAATCATTCGACTCAATGGCAGTGGGCTCTGGTTTGGTTTATTTAACTTTAGGATATTTTATCGTTGTTGTTGTTGTTATGTGCCATCGAGTCGGAATCGACTCATAGCGACCCCTCCTTGGGTTTCCAAGGCAGTATCACTACCAAAGTATAGATTGCCCCATCTTCCTTCCGAGGAGTGGCTGGTGGGTTTCAACCGCCAGCCTTCTGATTAGTAGTCAAGTGCCTTAGGCACTATGCTACCAGAGCTCCTTATTTTATCATTAGCAGTTCCTTAAAAAATAAATAAATAAATAAACATCAAGATAAGTGGATGTTGACATGTCTACAGATTTGAGATTAGAGTGACTGTACCATGTTGAGATATTTAAATATAACTGACTTTATGTGTTCTCAGTTGCAAATAAAATTTGGCTTGGATGCACACAGTAGCCAACAAGTTAACCCATATGCATTAAATTAGATTACTGGTCCTTGTTATAAAACTAGATGATATAAGCTTCAGCTGATTTGAATCAAATTAAATTTAATTAAACTCAATTGAATTGAATTATGGTTTATCCAAATTCCAGGAGTTTTGATTGTGTGTAGTGGCCATTTCTTTTTTGATTGTAAAAAAACATAGATAAAACATTTGCCATTCAACACTTATCAATTGTATAATTCAGTGAAATCAATTACATAAACCATTCTGTGCAACCATCTCCAGTATCTATTGCCATATTTTTCATCTCCTATAAACAGAAAGTCAGTGCTAGCTAAAAAGATTCCCTAATTTCCCTTCCCTTCCACCTCTGGCAAACCCAAAAACCATACCCTCTGCCATCCAGTTGATTCTGATTCATAGTGACCACATAGGGTTTCCAAGGCTGTAAATCTTTATGGAAGCAGACTGCCTCATCTTTCTCTTGTGGAACAGCTTATAGGTTTGAATTGCCAACCTTTAGATTAGCAGCCCAGGCTTTAACCTAGCACCACTAGAGCTCCTTCCAACTCTGGTAACCAGAGTTAAACTCTGATCTCTCTATATTTGCCTATTCTAAGTGTTTCATACTAGGCAAATCATAGAATATTTGACTTTTCTTGATTGACTTACATCATTCAGCATAATGTTTTCAAGGTTTGTTGATGTTGGGGCATGTATAAGGACTTTGTTTCTCTATATGACAGAGCAATATTCTGATGTATACATATAACTAAAAAAAAATAAAAATAAATCCAAACTCTCTGCCATTGAGTCAATTTTATCTCATAGCGACCCCTTCTTGGGTTTCCAACACAGTATCACTACGGAAGTAAATTGCCCAACCTTCCTTCCGAGGAGTGGCTGGAGGATTTGAACTGCCAGCCTTCTGGTTAGCAGTCAAATGCCTTAAGCACTATGCCACCAGAGCTCCCTTGTATGTATATACTACATACTGTATCTATTCTTCTCTTGGACATTTGGGTTGCTTCCAACTTTCGGCTATTGTGAGTAAGGCTGTAATGGACATTGGGGTGCATATGTCTGTAAGCTTTGCAGTTGTTGTATCTCTTGGGTGTATACCTAAGGGTAGGATTGTTGAGTCATCCATTTTTAGCTTTTTGAGGAACCACCAAACTCTTTTCCACAGCAGTTGTACTATTTGTATTCCCACCAGCAATATTCTTCTCATTCTCCACTTCTGTGGGACCATATTGCTGTTTTTTTTATCTGATTAAAAAAAAATCAAGTGGAGATGTCTATTTACACTTGCATCTATATCTGTGTCTATCTCTACCTACCGGTATGTCTGTATCCATCTATAAATACTTATGTACATGCAAACACACAGTGAGATACACAACCTTAACAGTATATCTTGCTGCTTTTAAAATTTTTATACTCTCTTTACCTATCACCATCCTTATGTATGATGATCCGTTAATATTTTCCACAAGATTTTTGTGGAAGCATAGCATAATTGCTCTGAAAGAGTTTAAGCAAATGCAGGATTTGTTATTTATTCGTTTATTATTTTTTATTTGTTAACAAATATATATTTGTTATTTTTGGTAGGGACAGGAGGAATATGCACATGTGTGTTTATGTGTATGTGTGTCTTTTTTAAAAAAATTCTACTTCCTTTAAGGAACTGTAGTCAAAGGTAGGTAGGCATGACTCAAATGCAAACTTACCTAATTCAGAAATGTAACTTTGTTCCAGGATGAAAAAGAATTTGAAAAAAATCATACAGTGGATGCCCCGAAACCCAATGGTTCTCGACAAGTCAGCTTTCCCAGACCTGGAGGAGTCAGAATGCTATACTGGCCCATTCAGCCGTGCACGGATTCACCAGTGAGTTACCATCTTTTTCTCACCTCACCTGCCTTTATATCTTCCATTGCCTAGGGTTTGTGGATAAAATTAAAAAGAAAAAATAATAGTGATGTTTCTATCCTTTGCAAATAAGTCAGAAACTGTATCATTATATTAAAATTCACACTTAACATGTGATGAACAGTCAGTGAACACTTAATTCTTTATCAGCCGTATGGAATTTAGAGACAGGATGAAGCAGAATTCCAGACCATAAAACATGTTACAATCAATAGGAAAATCTTCCCTCTCAAATCATCTATTTACTCAATAGCTTACTCTCAGAGGTGGATCTAGAAGCATTCTTTGTAATTCTAGCCATGGAAAGGTAGGGAAGTGGTATAAATCCAAATGACTGCCAGGTTTAAGAGAGAGGCCACAATTGGATGGACTCTTCTGCAACTTTCTACTGTAACTTTGTCTGGGACCTTTCAGGCTCTCTCATTCACTGCTGTAGAGTCAGATCTGACTCATAACAACCCCTCCTTGGGTTTCCAAGGTAGATTCACTATGGAAGTAGATTGCCCAATCTTCCTTCCGAGGAGTGGCTGGTGGGTTTGAACATCCAGCCTTCTGGTTAGCAGTCAAATAAATGCCTTAGGCACTACGCCACCAGAGCTCCCTTTAAGGCTCTTGTTGTGGTGGTGGTTGTTATGTTTAAGGCTCTATGGTGCACTAAATAAAAAGCATTCTGCCCTTTCTTTTTCGACCTAGGAAACCTGAGTGATGTTTGAAAAATATCAGTCAAATCCTAGAATGGCTTTGCTTAAAATCTCCAGTGCTTCCCGTTTGTCCTTACAAAAATATTTCAAATGTGTTATAATCTACTATGTGACCATATATGCTGTGGTCCTTGCTCAATACTATCACTCTATCATCTACCATTTTCTTCACTATTTACTTACTTATTCCAGCCTCAAAGCTATCCCTCTGAAGTTCACACTTACTTAGTCCCACTTCAGAGATTTCCTTATTGTTCTCCTTGGCTAACATAATCTTTCCCTAGATCCTTGCAGGGAATTTTCCTTTTTATCATTCAGCTTTTTCACTCAGACGTAACTACCTCAGAGATACCTTCCTTGAAAATGGCTGTCTATATTCTTGTTGCAGTCATTCTCTATGTCTTTATTCTGTTTCATTTTTCTTAATAGCATTTATCTAGAATTATATTCCTTGTTTACTTATATGTCATCTCTTTTCTCCTTTCATAACATAATTTCATGAAAGGAGGAATGTAAACAAGTAAATATTTGTTCACAGAATGAAAAATCAACGTGATGGCGAGCTAGGCAGGTGGCCATTCCTTCTGACACCTATAATTAGCAAGACAATGAACTTGGTGCATCTGAATACAAAGATAAAAAGCATAATATCAAAATACTGGAGGAACCTCCAATCTCATAAAGTAGGTAGATGTATATACCAAAAAAAGCAAACAAACCCATTGTCATCTATTCAATTCTACCTCATCTCAGTCCTTGATCTGTAGGACCAAGTTGAATTACCCAATAGGATTTTCAAAGCTGGAAATCTTTACAGAAGCAGACCATCTCATCTTTCTCCTATGGAGTGGCTAGGGAGTTCAAATGGCTGACCTTTTGGTTAGCAGCTGAAAGCTTTAACCACTGTACCACCAGAGCTCCTGGACAGGTATACAGTTTACCTTAAAATAGGGCAGAATAAAATCAATGTGTCAGAAAATCACAAATAAAACATGCATATTTATGAAAGAGAAAGAAGCCACAGCCATACATAAGGATCTATGAAGCCTTCAAAAAGGCTTCAAAAAGGAGGAGGTTCCACATTTCAGTCAGTAGGTAAAAATATGGAGAAAGGTAGGAATAGGAGGGAGAAGAGAGATAAGATATGCAGCAAAATGAGAAGGAAAAGAAGAATGGGATTTTAAAGTGATGATTATGCAATTTCACTAATTATTAGACATAAGCAACCAGACCTGTGGGAATTAGGTTGAGGGGTAGGGTAGAATGCTAATGTAGAAGACTTGGAAATAAGATAAGAAATTTAAATGCACAAGTGATGGAAACTGCTGATAGATTTTTAAGTTGAGGAGTGTTCTGAGGATCACAACTGTGCATTGAAAACCAGGTGGGAAATTGCACGGCCAGTTAGAGCATTCTTCTCATATCTAGGCAAATTACAAAGAGACTCATAACAACAGGGGAGCACCCAAACTGGAGAGAGGAAGTTCAGTTAGAAAAGATATTGAATTTGGCAACTGTTTGAATATTGTGGGTGAAGAAGCAAGGATGATAAAAGACCTAATACTTTAGCTCTAAGTGCCTGAGAAAATTGTGGTTTATTATTAACACAGATAAAGCAACTGGCATCAGGAGCCTTCAGACATAGAGTGAGGTCCACAGACACATTATTATATTTTGAAGCATTTGGAATGTTAGAAAGTAAATGCCAAAACAAACCCTTTGTTCTCTTGAGATAACCTTCTTTATCTTCTCATCATTTGATATTGTATTAAAAAAAATTCACACAGTCCCTCCTTATTACTATTCCAAAGATAGGGGCAATATAAGGCATAGAGGGGAAGGAGTACTATTCCTCACCACTAAAGCTCTGAAAGCAAGGTAAGCCAAGTTGGAAAGTGGGATAACTTCAATTTTTAATATGTTTGATGTGGAATCGCATTTCATCAAGTAGTGCAAAATTTATGGGAACCATTTTGCAATCCATTTTCTCCTTGTTCTGTGCTAAATAAGAAATATGAGGACATCTAGACTTTCTTATGTATTGAAAGAGGCTATTAAAATGAATATTTGATAATGTCTTGCATTTTTTATGGATGTATCTTTTCCTCTGTCAATTTATATATATATATATATATATATATA